GAGCAGCACAGAAACCAGGTCCTCCTCAGTCATTATGCAGATGATACCAAAAGGAAGAGAAGTTGAGGCAATTCCTCACTTAGGATCTGTTCCAAACAGAGCTGAGTACTGAGTACAATTTACTTCAGAGTGGTGTGCTGAATTCTTAGCAAACTTCACAGAGCATATTCTCAATGATGAGACCCATGAATTATTGTCTGCCACGCACTCCATGTGCATCTCCTTAATATGCTGTTTGGATGCTCTGCTCGTTCTTGCCTTTGAGAGTGTCCTAGTTTACCATACACAAAACTGAGCTGAGACCACAAATACTTTAACTCTTGCATGATGAGTCACAAATCATGTTCCATCATGACACTGCAATACAAGAGGGTCTTCAAAAGTGGCAGAAATGTCAAGAAGCTGTAGAGCCACTTCAGATGGCTTTTTTTGACATAAATGGATGAAGAACATAGAGTTTGATGATACAGTCCTGGTACGTCATTATCCACTTCGAGCTGCTTAGACACATGGACTGCATATTGATGAAGTCAATTTGCCCAGTGACAAGTGCTCCTTGTTCAGAACAGACCATCCAGCAAACCATTCCAAGTAGTGCCTTCTCTTTTCTTAGCATATTACACAGAAGGATTCAAAGTGCTCAACAGCATCACTGGTGATGTTTGCATACTTAGATGACAAGTGTTTCTTGGCACAGTCATGGCCACCATAGACGGTAGCCATATGTGCTTTTATGATTATATCATTTATATACTTGATGCTCACATAAGGGAGATTTCTCTTTTGTTTGCCTCATCTTAATCAGCTTTTCGGTGTCTCTACATGCAGAATTTCATATCTGAAATGAGGGAAATGGCAAGCAGTTTATTAGAGACAATACCATGTATCTAAAAGGGGAAGGCAGTTAGACTTAGACATTTAGACTTAAAAATCCAGAAAGAGTAGGTCCTCCATACTTACTTTCTAAGCAGATAGTATTCATGTCTCAAATTTGACTTGTGATTCTGTTTTGCCTTCTTTATTCCAGCAATAGTTGCACAATAGTTTGGGATCAGGCACTTGGAGAATTTCTGAATCTTTTCATACAGCTTTTCTCTAAATTTAACTTGAAAGTCCTGGGCATCTTCAGGAATGATTACTTAGATAGTAGAGAAATCTCATTCAGCTCCCTCTGTTTATGCACAACTGCTCTTGCATCAATTTCTGACGTATGCTGCAGTCATATGGTGAAACCAGTCATTTTGTAAAATGACTAACATCTTCAATCATTTCTCAAAATGACTTCCAGTTATTTTTTAAAATGACAGAATATAGTAGGTAGATATTATGCAAATTATCTACTCTAGTTTTTTGAACTTATTGGCTTAAAAGACAACAGAAAGAGCTGGTTTATTGCATTTTATTTCCCAAACTGTTCAAAACTGCATAGTATATTACAGAGCATATTATATACTTTATTTTCTAAAATACTCTTGTGAGGTGAACTTTAATTGGCAAAATTTGAATTTGTTTTGAAATGTTTTAATTTTTTTTTTAAATTGAATTGATATTTGAAGCACCTGACAATAGGTGACATTTTGTGAAAGGCAAGTGAAGGATGCAGTCTGGTGGTGTAATAAAATGGCCATCATTTTCTGAAATATGCAAACCCAGTCATTTTATGTAGCTGAAACAGTCATTTCATGAAAGAACTGCAAATTGCCAATCTTTTCTCTTTTTTTCAATAGCTGCTTTCACAGATTCATCATAGAATACAGATTGTCTGCTGTTTGGGTTTAAACTTCTGAAGGCCAGTTTACTGTAGAGATAGTTTTATTTTTGCAAGCTGGATTTAACTTACAAACTGCTTTTCACTATGTGAAACTTTGAGATGCCATTTCCAGCATATGGACACATTTCACGTCTGGAGTGGATTCTCATTCAGCTGCTTCTTCTGTAGCAGAAGACAAGAACTGCCATCTGTCTCCATGTGCATGGAATTTGCACCCATTTATGTTTCTCTGCATGCAGGCTCCAGACTGGTGAGACTCTCCTCTCCAAGGGTGTGATTCAAGGTTGTTCACCACACAATTTCCCATTAATTCAGATACAGTCTGCCCTTTCTTATTTTCTCTCATGCTTTTGTAGCACCTGACTAGTGAAGTCTCCGTGAGGTCTCACATCTGTTGAGGAAAAGCACTGGAAAGACAAAGTCCTACATGCAATTCTTACATGACTTTGTTAGAGATCATGGTGTATGCCTCCCCCCTCAGCCATTTGTGGGCTGTTGTGTTTCTCTGTGCTGCAGACGTTTAAAACAGATGAGAGTCTATCAGCTCTTTTCCATAAGTGTCCTTCATTTTAGTGTGCAGCCTCTGTCAAGCAGAAGTCAGGGTCTTGCTTCCCAGAGGTTCAGATGAAGCACCTGGGAATGCTGTTAAATTTCTGTACTAACATCTGTCTTGCCTCTTTTGCTGACACTGGGCATGTGGTCCTTCCTGACCATGACCCTACTATGCCCCCAGCTGGTAGTGTTACTCTTCTCAGCTATGGGACTGGCACTCCCTCCATTAGCAAAGACCTAAATCAGGTGAACCTTCTTGTGCAAGGTTCAAGAAAGGCAAATTCAGGGTCCTGCACCTGGGGAAGAATAACCTCTTGCAGTACAGGTTGGGGGTCAACCTGCTGGAACACGAGCAAGATTAGTTGGGCTGTATGGTCAGGAGGTACTGTTTGTAAACGTTTCCTTTTTCAAATGAAATTTTTCCAAATTCAGATACAAAATGCTTTTAATTTAGATGAATTTTTGCAGGAAGGACTTGGTTTACTTTTTCAGCACATAATCATTTTGTTTGTTAACAATTTTATTATGACAGAAGGGTTATAATATAGTGTTACAAAGCTATGCAATGCCTACAGAACACATGCAAGGCATTTTCTTTAAGCAACCACGTTGCTATGGGAGGAAACAAAAAAGTGCCATTTTCCATTCTCTCCCGCCACAAGGAGAAACTGATTTGTTCATGTAGCTTTAAAATAAATTTGGATCAGAGCAGTTTATTGTTTTCTTAGTGACACATGGCTAACTAGTAGTGAATTATGCATTCAAGTGGGCTTCTTCCATGTTATGAAAGTCTCTGTAGTTCCCCAGTTACTGTAAAATCTGGCTGGTAGTTTTTTATCTTTTTACTGTGGTCCTTTGGGGGCAAATGCCTTCTTGGACAGATTTTTCTCAGATCCACACACACTGAAAGCTCTCACATTTCTATCTTAACAGATGTTGTGATCCAGGCTGTTTGCCAAGGGTGAGCTATGAGAGCAGCCCCACATCTCACTTGTGTTATGAACTTCAGTGATTTCCAACTTTTGGTGTTGTATAGCATGACCCATACTCTGACCTGAAAATACCTTTTTATGATCAAACCTCCTGAGAGATATAAAGGAGTTTGAAGCAAGAAGGAAGACAGGGAAGAAAGACTATGGAAGAGATGGGATCCTTTAAAGTGGTGGGACCAAAAAGCAATGATGACAGCAGTGAGATTGCACAGGTACAGCAAGATCAACCAACTGTTATTTGGTTGCTGTCTGATGTAGAATGATTCAGAATGATGTAGAAAGATTCCGAAGTGTGAAAAGGTGGACTTCAACAGCATCATGAGGAAAGACTGTCACTGGAAATTGATAAGCTGATAACCTTTAATTAGTCAAATGATTAAAATATTATCCCACTGACTCTAGATGAAAAAATATGACTTTATGCAGATGGCAAGAAGAAAGATATATTTGCCATTAATGTCTTGGATTATAGCAGTCAGAGATTTATATTCTTTTTTGGGGGGATAAGTGTAAAGTAGCTGAGTTTTGAAAGCCTGGAGGCCTTTCACAGAATTATTTTGCTGAATTTTTGACTCTCCTCTAGTGGAATTCACTTCTGTCTTCAGAGACAGCAACTGACATTGCCTCACTGAGCTATAATAAGCTTTTTAGCTACACTAGGTCTATTAGCTTTTTCCATCCCTCCAGTAACATTTTAATTCCTTCTACCAGTACAGGGTAAAAAATTTATAGAATTGATTTCAAACTAAACATAATGTGAGTAATTATTTATAAACTTAGCAATTGCACAAAAAAAACCCTAAGCATTGTTACCTTGGATACCTAAAATATTTGACTATTTAAGAGAAGACAACTGCTGTCTGAATGACCTAAATAAATGATCCTCACTGTCAAATATTTCTTTTTAAATTGATCAATTCTGTGAATAATAATACAAGCTTTTGTTAGAACTTGCAATGTTCATTTCAGTAACAATGTGTAATTTTTGTTGTTAGATACATTTTCAAAATGCGGGAAAGAGAACAAAACTCTTTTCTGCTGCAGTGATACCATCTCCAAAAGGTGATTTTTGAGAAAATATTTTAAGAAGTAACTATTTATCGCTGGTTTAGTTTAAAATAGTTGGTTTAATTGTTCAATTCACTTAAAAAGTTACACTTGTCTTTACAATGAAGGAACAGACCTACTCAAGAAGAACAATAACTTCCCTGATATTTTATGAGAACTTATGTGGAATAAATAAGCAATGTATGGGAAAATTATATAGATCTTATAAGTTTCAAAAATCTGTACCTTAGTCCACAATAACTGCTTTTATATTTCTGTTTCAATATACTTTGCAAATTCTTTTGTGTCTCCTTTTAGTACCTTTGACTTCACAAACCTTGATGTAAAAACTGTAAGACAGAAGAGCCCACGTTGTTTCTTCCCTTTTTTGCCAGGTCCATCCACAACTCACTGGGTACTACCCTGAGGAAATCCCTGAGGTTGCCTTCCAGTTTACCAGCTGAGAGACTGGAGCCAGTTCAGCCCATTACTCCAGGGAGCTGCTGTGCAGAGCCCTGTACAAGTGTGTTGCACTGTTTCCAGGGCCCACCCTGACTTGCTGAGGAGGGATTTTGCCATGCATGTCCGTTACTGTCCTCGTCCAGGTCCAGGTCTGCACATGCCACAGGAGGCTGAAGCTAGCAGCAAGGCAGCCTGCTGCGGAGCATCCCCACCTTTTGCTTGAAGAAGCTAGTTCCACTCAGCACAAATGACAGCAGGTCCAGACAGCTCAGGGCAGTCAGGCTCAAAAAAACCTCATTGAAGCTTTCTAACTGGTCAAAATCACTCACATGCTGTATGTAATAGGCCCTAAAGAGGTGATAAGGAAGGAAGCAAATTATGATGACCCAGATGAAAATCAAGTTTTTCACCTGGGCCCAAAACTCTTGGTGTGACCAGAGGGAGCTGTTAAGTTTTCTTGCCACTTTCACCAGGATGAATATCTGCAGGCCCAAGAGGACACAAGAAATGCAGGCAACAACTACAATTATGATGTAGTTCAAGGCTTTCACACTCTCCTGCTGTAGTTCTTTGTGAAACTTGAAGCATGTTGTATCATTGTATGAGCCTGAGCGTCCATACTCAAAGTACAAGATTGGCACCACAAAGACCATGACAATGACCCACACAGCAGCACTTGCTGCAATGGCATGCAGCTTCCTGTAAAACTCCAGCTTGTCTTTCCATTGAAAGAAAATGAGCCACCGGATCACCAATGTGATCACATAGAATAGGAAGGTCAGGTACATGTGGATGTGCACCATTGCACTCACCAGTTTGCAGAATGGGATCTTGAATACCCACTTCTTTTTGACGTAATAGTGGAGGCGGAAGGGCACTGTGAAGAGGAGGAGGCTGTGCACAACAACCAGGTTAATGATGGCAGTAGTGGTCACAGACAGAGTGTTCATCTTGACCAGCACAAATGACATTGTGATGGACCCAATTCCACCTCCAGCAAAGGCAACTGAGTAGACAGTAATCAGTATGGCACTCATGGTGCTGGTGTGAATGAAGGCAGAGGAAGAGTCACTGCTGTTCCTAGTCTCTTCAATCATGATCCTGAAATCTTCCTTGTAGATAATCTAGAAGTGAAAGAATACAGAAAGACCAATATAAGGTAGGAACGAGAGGGACTACCTAAAAAGTCAGCAGAGCTTTCCATCTGGCTCTTCCTTGAGGAATAATCCTAAAATCTCACAGATGCCACCAGTACCATAACAGCTGTAACCAGCAGTTTTATCCAAACATTTTCCAGTCTAGAGAAAAATGGATGGAAGGTTGGGAAGAGAAGCTGCTCTAGTCCTAAAGACATTGCTAGGCATACCCTTAAAAACAAGCATGAGTCAATAATATGTGGGAAAGAGAGATCCTTAGAGAAATGACACAACTGTGATGGTTTTGTGCTGTGTTAATAGTTCTTCTCTCTTCTGAGCATCTGCATACTTTTACAGTGAAGATCAGAGCTATTGTTTGAATTCTGCTACTCATTCATTGATTTGTTTATTTGCAACACAAATCTGTCCTTCCCAGAGCCAGATAACAACCATATGGTGCTCTATCAAAGCTACAAATTTTCTTTGTTACTGAGAGCTGTTTTGCACACATTACAGTCAACTCCTTCTTTTCCATGGACAGTTTATCTGACAAAGGGATTAAACACTTTGGATACCCAGACTCCATGGAGATCCTGTTCAGATCCTACCAGACCAAGTAGGATGGGCAGTGCTGTCCTCGAGCTCAGGGCCATTTCACATCTTACATATAGTAACCAGGTGTTACAAAATGGGCTGTTGGAAAACAATGTGAAAGGACATCCTAAGTTAGTGTAAATCAGTCTGCCTGGCCTGAGCTGAGGTTAGATGCAAGTTAATAGCAAGTTTAATAAGTATACTATAAATTTTTAATATTTTACTGTTTCAGAGAGAGATTAAATATAATTCTTTTAAATCTAAATGCAACTTGTGGTAGTATTTTTAAGTACTACAGGATCATATGGGAGGGGAAGAGTTCAGGTAGGGTGTTATCCTGAAGCAGCGAACCCCACAGCACAAGAGAGGGTTTCCTCCTGACTGAGTTTTTGCAATTTTTTATTTAATACTTCAATGTTTTTAACTGCAGAAAGTAGTTCCTCAATCTCTTTGTATGAGTGGTGTTTCAGCTTACTTTCACTTTTTTTTTTTTTTGGGTAGCACATACTGCCAAATGTTGGAAGAGGAAAAAAGTTCTTTAGCAGTTGCCTCTTTATGGACACGAGGAAATGCTTGTAACAGTTTTATAAGCTGGCTTTTCTCACAGTGGGGAATGAATATCTGTCATGTACCAAAGATGTTTTGTGTTGTTTCTTCATAATATTTCTAAGCACTCGCCCCTAGAGTAATCAAGATCTCTCCATACATTGAAAAGTTGATTGTTCTCTAGCTATCCAACACATCTAAGGCTCAGAATCACAGAAACAAAGAATATCCAGAGTTGGAAGGAACCCATGAGGATGATTGAGTCCAACTCTTGGTCCCGCATGAGACATCCCCAAGAATGACACCGTACGCCTCAGAGTGTTGTCCAAATGGTTCTTGAACTTTCTGAGGCTTGGTGCTGTGACAACTTCCCTTGAGAGCTTGTTCCAGTGCCCGACCACTCTCTGAGTGAAGAACCTTTTTCGTTCCCTTGAGAGCTTGTTCCAGTGCCCAACCACTCTCTGAGTGAAGAACCTTTTTCTAATATCCAACCTGACCCCCACACTAACACAACTTTGGTCCATTCTCTTGGGTCCTGTCACTGGTTGCCAGAGAGCAGGGGTCAGTGCTTGCCCCTTCACTTCCCCTTGTGACAAAGTTGTATACAGTGATGAGGTCTCCCCTCAGTTCCCTCTTCTCCAGGCTGAACAAAGTGACCTCACATGGCTTCCCTTCAAGGCCCTTCACCACCTTTTTTGCCCTCCTTTGGATGCTCTCTAATAGCTTTACATCTTTCTTATATCGTGGTGCTCAAAACTCCAGATATTTTATTATAATCAATATAAATATAACCACCATATCTCAAATTGATGTGTTGGTTCTTGGCATTCCCGACCTTTTCTGTTTGATCCTGCATTTCAGAGTTATGTGGACAACTAATTTCAGTGCATTAGGAGAAGTACAATGGGTTGCAGTGAAAGCTTTTTCTCAAAGTCAAGGCAGATTGGGACACTGCAGTTCTTGCATCAGAAACTGTACAACTTCCTTCCAGTTCTGTTCTCGTTTCTGATACATTGCATTTCAGCCTCACAGGCATGCAAGACAGAAGGATTAGCAATAGTTCGTCAACAGTTTCTCCAAGTTGTTAAGTGTTGATTTGAAAAGATCTCTCTGAAAAGTGGGATTATCACACTGTTTTGATTTAAAATGCATATTTAAAGTTTAAAACTTTCAAAGTGCCTAAAGGCAACATGCTGGAAATGTGGGTTGGTATGAGCAGCCCCAGCAGCAAGGCTGCACTTGGAGAGGAAGAACCCCGCATGGTCACCCTTTGGAGCCTGGTGGTGAAACTTGAACTGAAGGCAGTAAGGAACATATAAGCAGAAGTTAGATAACTGATATTTTCCTCAGACATTCTGACTAAGGAGGCAGCAAGAGACCTATTTCTGTCTGCAAATAAGCAACTGAGACACTGAAATGCAGGTTTCTGCAGAATTTTGTGGTCACATTAAATCCCTTCATTTTAAGATTCTGCAGGAAATGTAATTTTCATTAACCTTCAAAAAAAAGCTACTGGCAGTTATGACACAAGATTATCAGCTCCCTAAGATTACAGGCATCCCACTGAAATATCATTGCGTGATGAATACAGAATATAGTATGACACAGTGTTTCACAGAGAAAACACTGCCTTTGGTGAAATGAAGTTTCCTTTTGCACTGCGATTCACAAAGCTATAACCTACTGACCTGAAATACAACAAGCCCCTTTGCCAGAATTTTTCAGGAGATGCATGGAATGAGAATTAATGCAGGTCTTACAAGACAATGATTAATTATATGACATAAGGCTGTATGCTGAACCTCACTGGAAACATGAGCTATAGGAGTCTCCAAGAGATGGAAAATATCTCACAGCAGAGGAGGAAAAACAGAAGAGACCTCTGAGAGTGGCATCAAGCTATCTAAGAACTGGTCTTTCTCCATGCTGTTCAGCTCCTTGTATATATCATCTGGTGTAAGTTCTTGCTATCTGTAACAGCATTGCTTCAGTACCTAATCCAGCTTGCTTAAACCTAGCTTTTTAAGCAATCTTATCAGTATCTTGCATTTTACAGGGTGACTGTACCTGATCACAGATTTACACTTCAGTTTCATCCCTTCTTGCCTTTTCCCCATACACCCCCTGCCCTAAACCATGTATGAAGCACCAAGGAGCTGCTTAAGAAGGATACTTTGCAGCTTTGTCTTGCCCAGGCAGCTTCCCTTCATGCACACTAATTTTAGTTCTTGAGAGCTGTGAGAGTGGAAGGAGCATGGAGATGGCTTATTTCGGTGCATATCCAAAGGCAGAGAATTTCTCCTTGAGGAGCTGGTTTTGTTTCTGTGCCTTCCTACCCCCTCTAGCTACTGCCAGTTCAGTGATAATGTTCAAGTTTTGGAGCAAGGTTTGGACTTTCTGTGTTAAGCCTCTCATCACTTGGCTAAGCTTCTACTGGACATGTGCCTTGAACAGCCATAAGGCAATAGTGGGCACCACTTCATTTGAATGCCATAGAAATTGCGGGTGCCAAGGGCTTGGGGACAATTGCAAAAATAGCTCTCTTCTAGTCTGATAAAGGAGGTGGATAGCCAAGAGGACAGAAGCTAGGTTCTTTCAGAAATATAATCAGCAAAAAGATTATTGTGTATTCGAGATTCATCAGTTATCAGTGTGGATAAGGCCATCACATTCATTTCTTGTGACTGTCTGTACAGCACAGTTTACAAGACACCCAGACTGTTTTCTTCAGGCCAGAACAAGCTATAATGCTCCATCCCTGGCAGTGTTCAAGGACAGGCTTAATGGGGCTTTGAGTAACCTGGTCTAGTGGAAGGTGTCCCTTTCATAGCAGAGTGGTTGGAACTAGGTGATCTTTAGGGTCTCCTTCATCCAAAACCATTGTGTGATTCTTGGATTTATGAAAACAATTTGATCTCTGTCAGAATTTTAGCATACTGTTATTTATCCTACTATTAAAAAAAAGAGATGAACCTTATGAACCTTATTCTGAGACAGAATTTGTACAGCCTCAGCTTCCAGGCATTTTATGTTCTTCCAGTTCTGTCTGCAGATTTAAAAACCTTTTGTCAAATTTTGACTTGCCCTATAGATACCTGGAGATAAGTAGAAATACTTATTCTCTTTTGAATCCAGGCATACCTGTGGCTCCTCACTGAACTGCCTTTAGGCTCCTATTTGGTTCTTAGATGAACAACTTTGCATTTGACAGTGGTAAATGGCATGTTGCTAGTGTGTACCTGACTTAGCAATCCAGAACAGCCTGTCACTGGCTTGTTCCCTTCACTGCACGCTATTTTCCCAACCAGATCCATCAGTCACAATTATGTTACATCAACATTATATTAGCTCATTAAAAAAATAAAAAACTCATTTGTCATAAATGATGACACCTACAATCTCTGCCAAACACTGAGCTCTATTCTGTATAACAAGTGTTTGCAAATTTTTTCCCCCCATACACGTCTGCTGAGAGACTGGCAGGCTTCACACAGATTTTCATGTGTTCTGACAGTTGGGTTCTTCAGAAGAAGTGTTTGCAGCCTGCATGCACCCAACTGAGATATTTCATTTGAATTTGGAGGAGAAAAAAGTTCAATTCAAATCAAAGATTTCTATTTTTGACAGACTTAATAAAATTGAAAAATGAGTGTTTGTCAGAACTGACATTTCTTCACTGAACTAGACTAGGTTGGAGGAAGTGCAAAATACAAATATTTTTTCACAAAAGTCTTTTTAAAATCTGAATTTGTTTCACAGATGTCCTCATTTAGTCTCAGAGATGCTTTCTGTTGAGGGCATTGTAATTTCATTTCAATCTGCTCTAATTCCATGCTGTGTTAACATAA